TATGTTACTTATTTTTTATGCTTAGCCACAAATTATAGAATAAAATATTGATTGATAGTATAAAAATAAAAAATATATATATTTAAATTATCATAACTTCAATCAATCAATAAATTAAGTTATTCATTAAATAAATGACTTGATAAAAGATAAACAATGTTCTTTTAAAAGAATGTATTTGGCTTAGACATAAAAATTAGATTTAATATTATTGGTTTTGTTTTAACATGAAGTTATTGAAATAGAAAATCATTAGTTGTCAAAAAAATTAATATAAAAGGTATATTATTAGATTTATAAAATTCTAATTTACATATTAGTTCCAATAGTTGAAGAATCTTAATTCCATTACAATTTATATGACCAAAGAAATAACAATAATTGATTTGAAGGATGGAAGTTTGCCGAGCAAGACTTATACCTTAGTGACACAAAAAAATAAAAGATCGACATGTAAGATGCATCAACAACAAAAATTGACATTTCATAAAGAAATCTATTCCAAATGAATTTTGACAATATTTATTTGGAATTGGAATGACTTGTATTGACTTGTCAATTATACAAGTTGATTTGATAAGAGTCTAAAAAATATCAATTTAGAGTACTAAAATATAAATAAGATATATTAATAAAAATATCTTAGAGAAAAATATGAATCTATGTAAAATTATAAAAAGCACATACAAAATACACAATATAAGTTTGATTTTGACAAGCCTAATACAAGTATAGATCCAAACAAAACTAAAATCTATTCAATGGAGAGAACTTAGAAGTCTTCATATTCCAAACATCTATTGACAAATTAAAATGTACTAGATCAAGGACTTAAAAACCTCCTAAATATTTTTATTCAAAAAATTTCAAGATAAAAATTCAAGTTTATTACTTTAATATATATCCATTACATTTGTATCTACACATTGAATTTTATAGATTTTTTTGACTTAATGAACAAAGAAATCTATTTTGACATAATCTACTAAGAAGAATCTAATCTACATGACATGACAATCATGACTCTAGATGATCCATAATGGAAACCATGAGCAACAAGAACTTCAATCAAATACAATCATAATTAACCTCTAGCTCAACTTAATACAAAATAAAATTGAAGGTGATTCCAAAGCACTTGGAATCTAGATTCAAGTGTATAAAACTCAATGGAACATCTTAAAAATTAATATAGAAGAAAAATTCCATTTAAACATCAATTTCTATTAGATTTTCGTCACTTCCATGAAGCACTTCTTTGTAAATTTTGCAACTTCATTGATTGTATTTTTCATCACTTTGATTGGTTATGAATTCAAAGTACAATATCATTATTTAATTAAAAAAATTATATTTTAGAAGTGCTTAGTTACAACTTGTTATAGATAATTTTGGTTTTTATTTGTAAATAAATTTTAGAAATTAAATAAAGATTTAAAGACAAGATTATATTATAAAAATAAAATTTACAAAATTTTAAAAATAAAATGGATATATTCAAATCCATCATTTTTTTTGGTATTAGAACTTATTTCTACTTTTATTGATTGTGCATTTCATTATAATGAGCAATTTTTGAAGCTCACTAAAGCATGTGGAAAGCAAGCATAAAAGATGATTATACCAAGTCTATTTTTTGGCTCTTTTGAAGTTAATTTTTAACTATGTAATTATCTACTTCATAAGCTAAAGTTGGCTATTGATAGTACATAGTTGCTCTTTTGTAATTATTTTTTTTACTAAAAGACATAACAAGTTATCTCAATGATTTCAAATTCTTTCATACTTTAGCTAATACATCAATAAAAGCTATCCGAAATTGTTGCCACATTGAATAAATTTAAGCTACTTTTTTGATACCAAATATACTAGAGCATATTTTTTCGACTAGTTTTGTTTTAGATATATTTATATATTTCATTATTGAAAGATTTATATTAATCAAAGTACTTAAGAGTGTTATAGAATTTGAAGTTATAATTGTCAATAAGAATTCCTCACACTATAAAGAATTGTTGCTAAAAGATGTGAATATATTGCTTCAAAGAAGAGAAAATTTGAGCACAGAAATATGTCAATTTGATTTTTATTTTAAATATATCTATATATATATATATATATATATATATATATTAAAATAATTATTTCTAAAAGCATAATTTTGCAAGTAACTCATTAAAAACATATTGCATGGATAAGATAAATTTAAAAGAAATACAGCAATTGGAATATGTTCATTTGGTTTTGTGTTCAAAGAAATGTGGTACGAAGTTGAGGTTGCCAAAAAGATATTCTATGCACTGAATTCCTTAGATTTTTATAAGAAAGAATCAATCATAGGATGGTTATTTGATCCCAATATTAGATCCTTGCTTTGTTATACAAAAGGTAAGAATAAGTATTGCTTGGTTATGGAATCGATAGATGGCAACATTTCTTGTTTAATAGAAAAGATCATAACAAAAGGCTTGATATTTAGTTGTCTACATAGTATATTGGAAGCAATTAACTTCATGCTTGAGGTTGAAAGTGGCATAAAATACATACATGATATAAGGATTATTTATGAAGATTTAAAAACCATAAATATTCTTGTGAAATATAAAAAATAAAAAGATCCTAAAACTTCATATATATGGACAAATTTTGGAGTCTTTGGATTGTCAGTATATATATATATATATATATATATATATAATAATCAAAATTTTAATGTGAGAATAATATAATAGATGAATTCTACGGTGATAAGATCAAATACAACTTTAATTTTAAGTGATTGTATTATTGCAAAGTTTTTCTATGTATATATTCTTTTGGTATTGATATATATAATTTTGCCATGTGTGTTATGAAATTTTGACCAAAGAGATGTCCTTCTATGACATAGTAAAAAAATGACGTGAAGAAGAAGATATTAAAGGATAATCTTCTTGAATTGCCAAAATATTATCTTTGATCATTAATACAATTGGTAATAAGATGGATCCAACATGCAAGTGAATCACCTTGATTTGATAAAATATGTATTAATTTAAAGAACATAAAATTTTAATTTCTTATGTTATATCTTTATATTGATACATTAATAAATGTTACCATAGTTACAAGTAGATATTAATTTATTTTATTCTTTTTTTATAATAATTTAACCAAGTATAAGTCTTTATTTTATTTATTTTTTAAAAATATTTAACTTGCAAATTTCAAGCCATTGGTGGTTGATGAATTAAACATCTAAAATATTTATTTTGATCAAAGATTTTCTTTTTATTTTTTATTTTTAGATATAAAAGAATACTTACTTTAAACTTAAAAATTCCAATGATATATCAAAAATAGGTGATATAAGAAGGTATTATCTATTATGGCTATATTAATAGTATTAAGTTGTGAGATAGATTAAAGGTGGAAGTGAAGTAGAAATATCTTTATTTAAATTTCATAGATAATATTATATTAAATATTAAATATTTTAGTTTTATTTATTAAATCAATATTATAAAGAAGATAATAAGATGATTTTAATTTATAATTACATGACCAATGGATCTCTTAAAGACCTCCTTAATAGAAAAGAGAAGATCAATTTATCTTGAAAATAAAGATTAGAGATTTGAATTAGTTTAGTACAAGGCTTGCATTATCTTCATACTAAAGTAGGCAAATACATCATTCAAAGGGATATTACATCAACTAAAATCTTCTTTGATGAGAATTTCATTACTAAGCTTGATGATTTTGAATTGGCAATGATTGGACTTATTATAAGACAAATTCATGAGTACATTATTAGAGGTATTTATAGCTATGAAAATCTCAAGTATATTAACATATGTTTGTGCTTTCAAATGTCTAATGTATACTCCTTTGATATAATCTTTATGAAAGTGTTTTTTGCACACTAATAAACTTTTATATTACAATACAAATACTCAAAATGGACTAAGTTCTTAATCATGGCTAAAATTGTCAATACAAAGGTTTTTCATGAAATTAGCTTTGATGTCTTAAAAAAATTGACAACATTATTAAGAAGTATTTGAAAAAAAATAGATGATAATTATCCTGCAATAGTTGTTGTCTTCAAGAACTGTTAACTTAATGCTGAATGCTAAATGCCTTCTTTATTGATTCCCATAAATGTGCACATGCTGAATGCTAAATGCCTTCTTTATTGATTCCCATAAATGTGCACATTGTTTTTCTTTTGTGTGACTTCGAGTTTTAGGCACAGATATTTACAAAGAGTTTCCAAGGTTGTGCTTGCATGAATATCATTTGTCATAAATTCAAGTACTCTATCTTGCAAATGATGTTCTTGTAACGTTCAACAGTAGCACACAACCAACATGCCAGGATAGAAGCCAAAGCCATCTCGAAGCCACCAAAGACGATGCCAATGTACATTGGCGTCGTGGATGGATCATTGTTGGTGATCACATGAACAAGGGTGGACGGTGCTAGACCTGGCGCTTCCGCTGAGGGCGGAGGAGGTGATGGAAATTGCATCGTGCTCAAAGGTACAAGACTTAGAAGAGGAACAAGCAAACTGAGTAAAATTTCCCAATTGAATTATCTCCCTTCAATACAATACTAGGATATTTCCATGTAATAACTGATCTTGTCTCCACTTGCGTCCATGAAATTTTAGACCTCGCTCCATCGCACAACCCTTGCTTTGTGACAAAATTATAAATCCCTCCCTTGCCCTCCAAGTCCCCTGCATACCAATTCTGCGCAGTAGAATACTTGATACCTGCACCCGATGAACAGTACAGCTCCACTACTGCGGCATGTAGCTTGCTCTTGTCGTATGAAGGGGCAGTACACCCCTCCAAGTACCTCATATATGCATTTTCATTGCAAACAATGAGAGTCCTCTCAAATTGTCCAGTTTCTATGGCGTGGATCCTAAAATATGTAGAGATTTCCATCGATGAATTTGGATTATAGCTCACTTGGATATTGCTCACCGCAAATATACTCCACAAGTCTATATGGCTTCAGAGTATCTAGAGCACGGTGTGGTCTCGACCGAAGCCGACATGTTTTCCTTTGGGGTGGTGCTTCGTGAGATGCTATCTGGGCGGGAGGCGATCTACAACAACGGCGGGAGGGAGTTCACCATGCTGTCGGTGATAATCGCCAAAGTTCTCAGCGGCGACGACCAGATGTCAAAGCTGCAAGCTTGGATGGATCATCGCTTGCAAAATACTTATCCGAGCAACATCGCCCTCAGCGTGGCCATCCTGGCGAAGTCGTGCGTGGAGACGTATCCGAGGTCGAGCCCCAACGTGAAGCAGATCAGCTTCGCGTTGTCGAAGATGTCCAATGCGTCGTAAGAGTGAGAAACGTCTACCCGATACTCGAACCACCCCATTGAAGCTCCTTGATCATACACATACGGTATCTAGACATTTTCCATCCGTATGCTCAAATTCTGTATAGACGCACATCAAGTATTGTAAGCTGCGGTTCATTTTGCCATTGGGGATAGAACAGGATGCACATCAAGTATTGTATGTTGAAGTTGATTTTGCCGCTAGGGGTAGAGCGAGACGCACATCAAGTATTTTACGCCCCGGTTGATTTTTCCGTTGGGGGTAGAGCAAGACGCACATCAAGTATTTTACGCCCCGGTTGATTTTTCCGTTGGGGGTAGAGCAAGACGCACATCAAGTATTGTATGTTGCGATTGATTTTGCCGCTAAGGATAGAGCACGACGCACATCAAGCATTGTATACCACGGTTGATTTTGCCGCCGGGGGTAAAGCAGGCATTTGATATGTGCAAGACCAAACTTATATGATCCATGGTTCAAGCCTTAAACTCACCTTAACCATGAATAAAATTATATCTTATCAACCTTAAGGGTAGTTTTGCAATTATCACAATAGTGAGGGATATATTTGCTATTATTAAGAATTTACAAATATTCTTGATATTTCAACATAGTTCAATAATATTTTTCTATTAAATTTTGCTATGTAGAATCTTTTACACAATTTATAATCATCATTAAGTTAATCACTTCATTTAACTTTTATACTTTAACTTTCCTATCTTGACTCTATATTAGAAAAAATCTATAATTTTATAGTACTCTTAAAAAGTTGTAAATTCATTTCAAAATATATGACTCTAATATTAGTTTTCATCTAATGACATTTGTTACATTAAGTGTGAAATCAATTTACACAACATACAAACCTTAGAACTTAAGACACAACAAAGTATAGAATATTTCTGTATTCAATTTTTTCATTTAGAGTTAAAATTAATGAAGAGGCTAATCTTCTAGAGTTAATTTGGCATAGGAATTGGCTATTAGTGCTTATAAAACACAAGCTAGCTCTAATACATTAGTAAAATGTCTAATGTGTGTAGTATAAATATAAAAGCAATATAATTTCAGTTATTTAAACATATCTAAGGTTTAGCAGCACTTCTCATGTAGAAGTTGGACTTAAATCCAATGATCAATAAAATGATAAAGAAAATTAATCACAAAAAAAAAACAAACAAGTACACAAATCAATGAAAATGACATATTCTTAAGACTGTGAAACAAATCATAAATAGTTATAAAAGACAAGTGTAGAAACTATGTAAATTATAAGAAATATGGAAAATTCCACTAAAAAGCTAATTTCAAATTACATAGGACAATTTATGGTTTTTTTAGTTTGAATATAACTTCAATACTTCTCATCATCGAAGATCAACCCCATACTTAGGATGTAAGGTTTTAAAATGCCATATGCCAACTTCTAAAAAAAACAAAGGTTCTAAACCATTGGATAAACTCAGCTCACTGTAAAGAAAGGAACCATGATTTTTTCACTGGAACTTTGGAATGAAGAATTGCGACGGGATGACTTGAGAGGCTTAAATCCCAAAGCCCTAAAGATAGAAAAATACTAAACAGCCAGATGGAGGAAGAAAAAAAAAAAAAAAAAAAAAAAAACACAGAGTTGTATGAATGAATCTCGCATGGAATTCCCAAATTGGAGCCCAATCCCTGTGTTCGAACAGAGTGCATCACTCGGGGTCGTGAATTATGAAGTGCATTTCACTGAATGGCTGGCCAGCTATTCAAGCCAGTGGGACCAAGCACATTAGTTATCTACAACAAAACTATTCCATGATCATCAAGCAGAAGCTACCATATTTGAATCGCCGCACCACCGCAGTGGGTGCTGAAAAAACGGCATTACCTTCACATGTGGAAGAAAGAGAGACTGGAGAAAAAGGATTATACAAGGGTTACCTGAGGTGAGTTCTAATCTGCCCAGAAATGCTAACGTACAAGTTGAATTGGTGAATTGGTGAGTGAGTGGGATGCGTTGTTACGAACCACATTCACCCTCATTCTGCACAAAAAAAATGGTATCTTGGAGGTGTTAATAAATGTAGTACCGAAACAGCTGCAGATGATGAAGTCATTGGATGCAAGTGAGAGATTGGAATGTGCAGATGGGGCTAAACACATTCATGAAGAGATGGGTCAGCGTATTTCTATTACTAGGAAGGTGGAATTGGAACACGAAGAGTGCGGAGGAACCCATGCCAAGTGAGAAGTGGGTCACCTTCATGTAATGACACACTTGAAGGACTTCGTCCAGAGGCGCCCAATCGCCGAAGTTCTTCTCTGCGAACTGGTACGAAACACCGCCTTTTCCTCGCCGGACAATGAATAGGCCTCCCTTAATTAGCCCTTCTCCTCGTGCGTTTCCAGGTATGCCTGTTTTCATGGCTCGCTTCCAATTGAGGCGCGCGAGAGGATTGAGACAAAATCCCGTGAACAGGTTATCTTTCATCAACTTGCCTCCTCCCAGTGCCCTGAAGAAGTCCCGCTTCTCATCCAGGACCACCATGCCTGCCCAGAACCGCGGCCAGAACGCCCACACCTCCTCGTCGATGTCCTCCAGGAGCACGGCCACGAGCTGCACGCCTAGTGCGTCAAAAATCGGCTTCCGGGCGAATAATTGATGTGCTTCAGCTCGACACATCACGCACCTGCAAAACGCCAGCAACTCAGCAAAGTTTTTACCAAGACTAACTATGAGGGATAAGATGTGAACGGAAGAGAGAATCGGGTGTTAGCATGTTTTGGCTGAGAAGGAATCCGGGTGGTGCATCATACATACCCTGGTCTCCGAATGCAAAAGAATAGAGTCGCCTTCTCGGACCAAAGGTTGGAAGCTTTGAAGGGTTGGGGTTTTTTCGCCCCCTTCATCGTTCTAACGTCAACCCCGGTCTTGTGATCTGGTGCGAGTTGTCGCACCGAAACTCTCTCCAGCACCGACAACTTTATGATGTTATCCGGGGTTGGAGCTTTCACCATCCCACGCATGCGACGCGCGGTAGGAATCGCTGCGAATACTCCTCTTGGAGCGTTGGGTTTTCTGGCGTCGACGGGCCTCAATAAAGTTGGTGACTCGTATCCCATGTCGCTGGCATTCGACTTACGAGCATTCGAGGGTCGGGAGCTGGCGACAGGCGACACCTTCGAGTAGGATTCGACGAATGAGGAGACTAACGATTCGCTCAACGTGGATCTGTGCAACTCAAACGGGGGGGGCTTGAGCACGGGCTTACTGGATACCAATTCCTTTCCTTCATCACTGCATCGTGAAGCTGTGGAGGGGCGCCGCCGACTGCCAGAGGACACTCTAGTAAGATCAGGTGGCAATTGAATCGCACATGACATTGTCGTATCAACGAAGGTGGTTACATGATTTCTTCGCATCCGAAACTTGGTGGCTAGCTCAGAGGGCTTCATGCTTATCAAGTCGATTAGCCCTATCCCTGAGGCCTCCAACCTTTCAGCGTACTTCATCAATGAACGATTGTGAAGATATATTCGCAATTCAAGAGCATCCTGCACAACGAGCACAGAAGAGAGTTACCAGACCAAGTCTCCAAAATTTGGCTGCAACTGAGCAAAAGCTTGGTTGGAATCCTAGGCATTCTGGCGACGTTTACGTTGTCAAGACAGGTGAAGATTTTCAGTGTAACGGATGATTCGACTTGCATTGGATGGTGTGAGGAAAGTAGAATGTGATTCCATCGCAAGGGAAACAAGTCGAGACAGAGTGGGGGCAGCGTGGATTGCATTGAAGAAAGAAAAAAATGCGCAGCATTCGATGAAGTGGTAATTGTGCACGTGAAGAAGAGAAACAGATACAACATCGCTGCGAGACTTACTCGTTGAATGTCGGTGAGATTGAGCGCATCCATGTCATCGGCACGGATTATCTTCAGCGTGGGTACGTCATCCCAGCCATCTTCCGCAAAATTGCTGCCCATGTCCTTCAAAACCCCTGCCCCTAAAAACTCATCTAACGAATACGATGCCATTTCTTCGTGCGCGGGGCGGAACTCGCGCCACTCCCAAGATCAACCAACGATTGACGTCAAAGAAACTCAAAAAACATATCTATCAATGCAACAGCCAACGTAGTCTGCAAGAGTTCCACACACTCGAAGAGTTCACAAGCTAAACCCTCCACGATGTCAAGACCACACTCACGTAAAACTCCCCTGACAATGGACAAAGCGCCGAAAGCCACATTTGTAGCCCCTCAAAGCCCGCCAGAAAATGATTGCAGCACATTCAACGAACCCAACGAACGCCGAGAAAGTGAGACAGAAATGAACCACCCCGTGCACAGATATCGGGATTAATGCCACTGACCAGCCTGGAAGCGCAAAACATGGGTCTAAAAAGGGACATCGGATAAATCACTTGCATGCACCACCTTAACCCACTTTACCCGACCACATTAAAGCCACAGACAACTACGTGAAACCAAGTGGGTAAGAATATCCGAAAACTCCATGGAGAAAGGAATGAGCCCTCTAATTGTTTCGACGCCTTCTTGGGCTGGCATGCGTCGTCATGCCCTGACAAGCAGCGCCATGATTCCCTTCTCCCCCAGCATCCGGATGTAGCAGCATTGTCCTCTTGCAACTCATGTGCTCACTTATACCTGAGTTTAGAGAACCTACCCTCTGTGTGCAGTGGGACACTCTCTGTCTCTCTCACTCTCTCTCGCTTCCATGATAGCGATCTCACAAACAACTGACAAGGTTTGACAGCAAATCGGGCAATCAGGAGTTCCCACGGCGGCCGGAACAGCAATCAGAAAACGGCGGAAGAATGCATAACCCCTCATGTCTCATCTCAACACCAAGACTCATAACACACACCATCCTGGAGTGGGTTTGAACTGTGGAATCAAAGCTTTCCATGTCGTGTGTGCAAACCCGTCGGTGAGATCGATGAGAAGGAGAGACGAGAAGGGGCCAGGAAAGGGTCAAGTGGAAAGCTGGATCGCATAGGTAGAGTAGAGCTCGATTCCCAACGTTGCGGATCGATTGTGGCCGTGATTGTGAACGCAAATGCGCAGTTCTAGTGATCTGAATTTTGTCATGATGCATTGATTAATTCATAGCCGCCGCCGCCGCCTCTCGCTCAGGCTCAGCGGGCGCGGTGGTAGAGCCCGCGGAGTCCCACAGCGACGTCGTGTCGTGGCCATCGAAACCCGTAGAGGTTTGTGCGGTGATGCGCGCCCATTCCTATAGCCGTTTCCTTTCGGCGTGGTTTTGGGCCTCCCTTCTTCTGGTTCTCCTTCTATTTCGTTTTGTTTGATCTTAATTCTGCGAGTATGTTTGTTTGTTTATTCGTTTTTTTTATTTTTTTTATTTTTTATTTTGTGCAATCTAACACATAATTTATTTATTTATTCAATTAAGAGGATTTTTGATAGAGTACTCACTTGATGTTATTGCAAACCTTTGAAGGGGGATGTATAATTGCTGAATGTAGTAATTCAACTAGTTTACTTGCAACCATTGATTTTGATCATGAAGCTCTTGATTTGTGTATTTTTCAATGTATTTTTACTAATTTTACTTGCAGTGTGTAGTGTAGAAAGTTATGAGAGCTTACTATCATACATTGAGTTTCTTTTAAAATAATGATTTAAATAATTATTTGAAATTATATAAAACATTATAATTAATTTATAATTTGGAAAGTATAATGCAAGGTCAAGTCTTAAAATTTGAAATTCTTTAAATAGGAAGCATTTTGAAATGCTACCATTTTAAAAAAAATACTATATATTTTATATACGAGTATTTTTAATTAATTTAATATCAAAATAATAATTTTTATTTTTTAAAATACTTAAAAATATTAAATAATTTTAATAAAATTATAATGTATAAATTATAATAACTAAAAAATTTATTTTATTTTTAAGATATGATATTTTTTTCATCTTAAAAATCTAATTAAAAATTCTATGGAAAATTATTTAATTGTATGTCTCTGTTTTTATATCTACTTATATAAAAAAAATTATATTTGTCTACTTATTTATCCATAAAAATCATTGATTGGTCGAAAATATTAGTACCATTTAGAATCACAAATTTAAATTGTTTAATATTAGTTCTATCTCACCTTGAACCATCTCCATTCCCAATATACCTCCCTTCTCCTTGTCTTTTTTTTTCCTTTATCTCCATTCTCAATCCTTATTTAGAGTGGTTTTTTGTTTGATTTAATTTATTTGGATAAAAATGATCACTTATCAAGGACATGAATCTCAATGAACTAAATAATGAAGACACTCTTATATCACTTAAAAAGACTAGATAATCATTCAAAGATGGTATAATATTGAATGAAAATACCTATTGTCTAAGATAAAAAAAACTTATGTCTCTTGAAAAAAGATTAAAAGTAAAAGAAGGTATTGACAAGAGTGAAGAAGGCTTCATTTTTGCCTCTATATATACTATCCAACTAGGAGTTGTATAACAACATCACTAATATCATATCCACTACAATAAATAAGATATTTCTACCTATTTCATCTCTGCCTTGCCTCTAAAACTCCTTCTATCTCAAACTCTTGATTATTATCCACTTCAAACTCTTGATTATTATTCACTTCTATATGATGAAGTAGCATTTGTCTTCTTCTTTAGATATTCATTATGTTATATGGCTCAGGAAAAGATACATGGAATACATGATGGATCTTCATAAACTATAATAGATTTAAACAATAAGCAACCAGATTGAATTGTTTACAAATAAAGAATGGTTCAAGCCTACGATAATCCAATTTCCAACAATGACGATTAATTTTAATACTGCAACAAAGTAACTATATCTTATAGCCAATGTGGAATTGAAGTTGTTCCTTCTAATAGGCATCTGTATTAATCTTTTATCATTCTTGAGCTTGTTTTAGTTGTACCTTTATTGTTGTATGTAGCTTAGATAAATGATTCATCAAATCTTCTATCATATGATTATCAACTTTTGAAAAGTAAAAAATATCAAGTTGTGGATGATAACCATAATTAATAAATAAACATGTTTATTTCATAAAAGAATGTATCATGTTATTATAAACAAACTATGCCAATAGTAAAAAATTATCCAATTAATTTGCTGATAGTTAATTGTATGCTTTAAATATTGCTCCAAAATTTAGTTTACACGCTCTATTTATCCATTGCTTTAAAGTTGAAAAGTCAAAAAAAACTTTATTTCTACCTTTAAAATCTTGACAACGATTCTCCAAAATCTTGATATAAATTGAGTCCCTCTATTTGATATAATATCATTGGACAATCTATAATAACAATAAATGTTGTCAAGAAAGAACTTAGTTATTTTTTACTAATTATAGATTTTATAAATAATAAAAAATATACTATATTGATAAAATGATCTACTATCACAAATATAAAATTATACAAATCTAAGACTGAAAAGTCCGTAATAAAATCTATAGAAATAAAAGACCATGGTTGTTCCAAAATAGGTTATGGTTTAAAAAGTCCATAAATTCAATTATAAGGAGTTTTTTTATCTTAAATAAACTTCATATGATTGTAAAAAGGCTTTTATTGCTTTCTACATTTAAAGCCACCAAATATCTTTCAAATTCAACTATAAAATCTTATTATATTTAAAATGTCTGATTATTAGAAAGTTGTAACAAATTTAAAAAATATATTATTATATTTTGTCTTTTGGAATATATAATCATTTCTCAAAATAGAATAAATAATTCTTAAACATAAACTTGGAAGTATCATGAGACTTAAAAAATTTATTTTTAATATTATGAATAAGAAGATCAGAGGGCATACTCAATTGAATTTGCTTAAAAAATGTTGAATCAACAAATAATGTTGACTTCATTGTTCAAAGATAAAAATGCTCATGCTTCAAGAAAATTACTCTTCATTAATTAAAATCTATATGTTCTTCTTCAAGTGCAAGAAAAAAATATCTAGAAAGGGCGTCTAATAAATCTTCTTGTTTTTTAAGTCAATAAAAGATCTTGAAATCAAAACTTAATAAAGAGGTGGTCGAAAAAGCTTCACAAAAAATGATTCCAAAAATATGTCAACATGAAGTACTTGAGATTCTTGTGATTCATAAATACAATGATTAGACTAGAAGCACATTTTAGATAATGACACCATTTTAAAAATGAATCCATAATTGCAAAAAAATCTTTGTCATGGATCTTGTAGTTAATCTTGATTGTTAAAATTTTTTTAAAATGAAAAGCTACCAAGTAGAGCTTATCATTTGCTCATACTACATTGATAGCAAAGTCTAATGTATTTGTTGTCATAAAGAATGCCTTAAATAAATTGACGTGATATAATATTGATAAAAAAATAAATATTATATTTTAAGCTTTAAAAGATATTTCAATTTTTTTACTCTATTGAAGTTTGTCTTTACATGTTAGATGCATAAGAAGAGCCACAACTTGAAAAAATATCTTGATAAATATTTAATAATAATTGGCAAATTTTAAAAAATATTACATATTTTTTATTATTTTTGAGATCTTATAATCCATAAAAGTCTAAAATTTCTTAAGATCTATCATAAGGCCATTGTTTGAAATGATGTATCTTAAGAAATTAACTTGAGTAGTGTGAAATACACACTTTTTTTATCTTAGCATATAATCTTGTATCTCTAAGTTTTTGTAGTATGCAACAAATTTAAAGTTTATGCTCTTGTATGTTTTTAGAGTAGATTAAAATATCATCTAATAATAGATAATAAAATTATTAAGTAATTCATAAAAGACATCATTTATTAAATAAAATAAAAAGAGTTGGTCCATTTATGAGTCCAAAAGGCATGACATTATTTTTGAAATATCTATGCATGGTTTAAAACATAGTCTTCCATTCATCTCTTTTTTGATACATACTAAGTTTTATACTAATTATAGATCTTTTTTTTATATAGATCTTTTTTTGATTGAATTGATCAAGAAGTCTTGAAATCAATGGTAGAGAATACTTAATTTTAATGGTTATCTTATTGAATCTTCAATATTCTACATACATTTTCAAAGTTTTATTTTTATTTTTATTTTTATTTTTTTATTTATTTATAAATAAGATGGGAGCTCTTACTAGACATTTAGAATGGTATATGAAGTTTTTAGCTAAGTTCTCACCAATGTATTCTTTGAATGCAACCAACTTATTTTGTAATAAATTATAAATTGGTTCAAATATTAGTTGAATTCCATCTTCAAGATCAATAGAACATTCATAAAGACAATGATTTAGAAGAATATTTGCATTATTTTTTTAAAAAATATCTTAATAATCTTGGTATTGACTTTGAATTCTACTTGTAGTCTTTTTTCTATCAAAAATAGGTGTGGCATATATAACAAAAATTGATCCTTCTTTTGCTAAATGCAAAAAATCTCTTGTATCTACTAGCAAGAATTCGATTGTATTGAACTTATGGATTTTTACTCAAATAATAGAATCATAGACTAAACTATGGAAAAAATTAAGATTATGAGAAGTCTAATCTAATTGAGGATTTATTTCTTTACCACAAAAATCCTAAAATAACTAAATTGGATAAAAATCTAAAAATAATAAATATTACTAAGTTACAATAAATTTTATTTTTTATTTAAAAAAAAACAATTCATAGATAATATCTCCAAAGGACAATAAACAACTATCTATGAATTTTACATGTATAGGCTTATTTGTCTTGAATAAAGATACTTCTTATTTTTATAACAAAAGCTTCATCTATAAAACAAACTAGGATTCTTGAATCTAATAAGGCTAATTAAGGATGTACAATAAATTTATGACATACTGTACAAATGAGTAAATAGGACATTAAAATAGACCATTATAGATCAAAAATACAATCATTTATATATATATATATATATATATATATATATAAAAAC